AGAGTATTCGAACTTGTGCATTATAAAGTGCGTTTGCATAAACTTTCTGCTTTGAAACCTCAGATTTCGTCGTGGGTGCTGCTTTGAACCAGAGAAAGTTTGAAAGGTGTACAATCTGTGTGTAGCTGTATCTTCTGATGTTCGTCAAAGTTTGACACTATGAAACAGCTGTTTTTTTACTATGGTGGGCCGACCAAAGACATACGACACAAAATCAGTCAATGAAAGACTTGATAATAAGGATGTCAGAGCTTTTATATTCCAACTATCGTAATCCTGGCCTACCTATAACAATGCCTCAATTATAGCACACATAGCATTGACATTCATGTAATGAATTGGGATAGTATGTGCCTGTTGGACTATCCATTTCCTCAGTATATCGCGTTGACTGCTGCCTCATGAACTATAGGCACGATATGTTGTACACGAAATAGTTTGGAGATTTGCCGATAATGGAATTTCTCTGTTGCCGAGCAGTGCTATCACCCGGTAGAGTAAAACGCAGGCAAACTTCAAAGTTTTGCAAATCATTATCAGGTTCGATTCGGTCAGATAGGGACTAATTTCTGAGCCTATCCTTTCACCAGGTAAGAACTTTGGACTGAGATTTTAGTAATTATTCAAAAGCTTCAATCTAAGGCTAACACCGCACAGTTTTTGGAAAGTCTTTTTAACGCTGTGGCATCCAAAAAATATTAATTTTCACATCCGGGGCGCGCCTTCATTATTATCACTCGTATAATTTACTTGAAGGACGAAAAGCATATGCTCACGTAGAGGATACTCTCTTGTATCTGAGCCTACCGTTTTATCTCAAATTTCCTCCAAGGCGCTGAAAAAAAATTCTATTGAATAACAAGTTGCACGCTCCAACGTGTTAGGCCATTGATCGATCGCTCCACTCCCTACCCGTAAATTAGCAAGTAGATGAGCGCGCCGGTTATATAAATCTTGATCTTATATCCCCTGCTACATTGCAGTGAAACGATTTTTTCCATAAAACAAGCCACAGCGATGGAATCACTGAACGTAACACTATCAAATGATCATTGATAGTTCGAAGAGAGAGCTCTGCCCCACAGGGTGTAAAAAAAACATAGATGCTATCTTTCTCCTATGGAGCTAGTCGAAAGAGCTTTTCCGAAAGACCACAAAAACATTTTGAGTTCTTCGAGATTTGTGCCATCGAAAAGGGTACTAGCAATCTGAAGAATGAGTTTTTCCCAGCAGAAATATTTTGCGAGATTAAAAAAAAACCGCGTAGTGCGTGGAAACATAATGTTTTTCCAAATGCTACACACGCTCCCAAAGGGACTCTTTCAAAAACCAAACTGAGTAGAACGCCAGCCAGAGATTTGTGATTTTTCGAATCATTACTAACACTCTTATGTAAACTCCTTATCCAGCGAAAGGATAGGTTTGAAGATTAGTACTTCTTCTATCCGAAAAGAGACCATCATCACTCATCGTCATATATTATAGATCTTTTATACCGCATTTAGCATAATGCTTATTTGTCCTCGCACGCTTTTTTTGAATATATTTCCACTGTACGCATTTCTAATTTTTACATTCAGTTCATTTTTTTTCGTCTTTTTGAACTTCGTAGAATACTGGCCGACCACGTTAAATTGCAATATCGAGGGTAGCCTGTATGTGCGGCAGCTACATAGGACGGTTCGTTATTGACCAACGGAGAGAGTTAGGAAAGAGCGGAATATAGACCGCGCTCAGCAACGAGCATCGCAACCACCCGGTCACTAAGTTCCATAGATCTTTACTATGGTTAATATTTCAATGCTTTCGTCTTCGCCAGCGTCGATGACTTGAAACGAGTGTCCACTGGATTTTTTTTCTTATCTTGGTCGACACAACCATCACATTGAGACAATTGAGTAGGATGAGTATCGCGCGAATAAAATCGGCGTTGCTCTTCATAAAAGACTCCAGTCACTCTGAAATGACCTGCCGCCTAATAGACAGCAGCCTGCATGAAGTAACCAAACCTGTTTATTTACGCGGCTTTTGATCAAACAGTTACATAGAAACATTTGTTGAAATTCGTCGATTTAGTACAATAATGTTTCCGGAGTGTAGGAAGAATTTTGTGGCGAAACTGACTTTACCGAAAGCAATCAAAACAGATAAATGCATGACTGCTACAGCACGGAACTCCTACAAGACAAGACGCCTCCAGCGCGGAAGTGCAACTACACGGAGCTGCACAACACGAAGGTGCTTATTCAGCTTCTTCTGGCGTTTATGGAAATTTTTTAACATGACCGAAGATTTCTAAGCGCTGAAGGTGCTTTCGATTTGTCATTCGCAAAAAGAAGAAACGATATTATTACGTGACGATGCGAACAATATCAGTATTTTTTGAAATTGAGATGAAACTTGGTTAGACTGTGTTAGGTCGCTTTCACGGAAGCGTGGAACATTTTTCATTACATCTCCATATATGTCAAACCCTAATAAATAGTTTTCAGAAGTGACACGCTTATGCCGTCGTTCCTTACATAGAATAGTGTGAATTGACAACAGAACTCTCCTCAATAAATCGCCAAACTATTAGCCTACAAATGAACAGTCATTGCTATTATTCAGTGCCATGTTGATCGTTTGAATACCTAAAATCACAAAATGAAGCCTTAATGTTCTGCGTTGTATAACTTTAAATAAAAGGCATCTATATCGACTTTATAACGCCGTTTTAGAAAGAAAGTCTTCTGAACACATGGAAGGCTTAAGTTTGAGGAACCAACTACTAAATAGAGAGAGTAGCTTTTTTTTGTTATTGGGTATATCGACTCAAGGGCAATCATGAAATCGATGAATTCTACCAACTGGTATATTTTTCTGATTGGCTCAGAAACCTTTCAGTCGACTGTTCTTTAGAAATTCGTTTTTTAAACATTCAGTATATATTTTGTAAGAATGTTTCAAGATTTCATAGAGTTGATACATTACAGCCCGTTCGTGGCTCGCGCGTGTTCGGCGGTATCGCCATCATGAGAGTCCTTTCTGCATGTGTTGCACTTATCATGAGAGATAAGGTGAGGATGAACAACACCTGTCGGCAAGATATCCGTGGCCACCAGCGCACCTACAGTTAATGTCTTGCGACTGGTACAAATAGTATATTGCAAAATAACGTTTGAGTGATGAACAGAACTTTGACGTCAGGCAGGACTCGAACCCACAATCGGAACTTCTCCGCGATCGCGTGCTTACCCAATTGCACTACCAACGCTTGTTTGGTCCACCACTCTTTCTACTCTACAAAGCGTCATTATGTCAGAAATCAATCGTCAACGGCTTGGTCTAGCAACTCATATCGACAATGTCCAAGTTACGATGGCAGATACTGAATTCACGTGAGTGTCAAAAATTCTTTTTGATCAACAGCAGATTATCGCTAGAACGTTTGTCGACCACATGTATCTAATATTGTCGGCGTAACTGAAATCGATGCCGATAATGCTTGTCTTGCCAAATCGATGACTGTTTGCCGCTAAGACATTGAAGCGTTGTAGCGTAGAAAGAATGGTGGCAAAACAGGAGCTGGTATTGCAAATGGTTAAGCACACGCTCCTAAAAAGATGAAATTCGGATTCAAATCCTGTCTGACCTCAAAGTCTTGCACATCACTCAACAATGTTGAGTGAAAATATTATTTGCACCAACCTCAAGACGTCGACTTTACGTGAAATGGTGACCATGATGTATCTTGCCAACGGGTACTATTTATCGTCGCCATATCTGTATGACAGAGGCCAATGGCTCCTGAAGAAGTTTCGGTGTGGCGAAATCCCGAAACGCGCGTAGTCCACGAAGGAGCGAAGCGCATTAACTTAAACATGCTTAAATATTCTTACAGGCTATAAATTGATTTAGAATCTCGAGTTGCGATATGAGTCGAGTGGTCACCTATTGTAAGAAGGCAGCATTTCGGCTTCTCCCAGATGATCCCTTTGAAACACTAGAGAAATGATAGGAACTACTGGAGAGTTTTGAGCGCTACACAAGTGGAATCAAAGCTCACTTTACGAAATGTGTATATTTATATAGCTAAGAGAATTTAGTGGTGAACAAAAACACGGCCTCAGGCGGAATCGAACCCACGTTTCCATCCTATCCGCGGACGCGTGCTCTACCACTACACCACTGAGGCACATTTGCCCGACCACTCATTCTTTAACATCTCAATGTTAGCTATCAGCACCAACATTTTTGACAGGTTTGGTCGGGTATGCGACTTGGGCAAATGTGCCTCAGTGGTGTAGTGGTAGAGCACGCGTACCCCGGATAGGATGAAACGCGGGTTGATTCCCGTCTGAGGCCGTGTTTTTGTTCACCACTAAATTCTCTTAGCTATATAAATAGAATAATAAACACTGCGAAAAAAGCAGTGAAAATTATAATTTCGAAAATGTGTAATAACAAATTCTGCTTGCAGACATCACGAAGAAACTGCGCAATTGGCGCCGTGCATAAACATCTACTTTGATGAGAAAATGGAACGCTAGAAACGGTGAGTAATGGTGCTCCTGCTCAGTGACAAGTCAGTCGCATTCTCAGAAACGTTTACTTCACAGAGCTATTTCGATTCCATACCAATCCCATAAAGTGTGGGAATCCCGCTACGTCATGACAAGACTTATTGTCCTAATATCATTGCTTTTTCTATCACCGTTTCTGCTACGGTTTCCTTTCTGCTCCCTCATATTAGTGTATTTTAGAAGCAATCTTAATCAAAGTCCGCTTTTAAATTCTTCGGCGAAATTCTTCAATAAGTTCTCACTTAAGTTATCAGTCGCCTTCCTCATCAACTAGACATATTTAATAGGCGCAGAAAATGCGAGAAACTATGAGAAAATGAAAGATTAGCAAAGGCCATCTATGTTCTTTTCCATATTCGTTGCCAAGAACCTTTTGCAACAGACGCTGTCTTTCGATTTTGTCAATCGAGACTGTTACAAGATTTTCTGGCGCTTGAAGGTACAATTGCAGTTTCAAAGTTTTCTATATTATGAATATTTTATTTTGGGAAAGTCGGATTTTCACGGACTATTAACGACACACACCTGACGATTTCAGGAACATTCTCGGTTAGAATGTTTTCTTTTTTGTAGAACCTTGTTTTTTAAAACATTGTTTGCAGACCACAAATATCATAATGGCAAACTGGTCCAAAGCGATGTGGCAAAGTGTAGCGGATAGAGCTGTTCGAGTGTTGGCATCAGGGCCGTTTCGATCGCCCTTTCTTTCGGCAAGAGCGACTGTTGGTGGAAACTGAAGTTGGGCTATGATATGTTTCGAGTCAGATATCTATAAAATTCCTATATTTATATATTAGCAATGGATGGAGCAGCAATAAAATGGCATATCATATGAGTATCGATTGGTAAGAGTAGTGCAAAAAATTACATGTGAGTCGAGAATGTGAAGAAGTTCGGTTTAAGAACTTTTTCAGAACAGTTGGAAAGTTTGCGAAGAGCAAGTATCAGAAGAACACTCTCTGCTTAATCTTGAAAAAACGCTGATATCAGTCTCGCCCTCAATCTATAATGTAACTAGAGGATGAAAGATCTTGAGGGCGAGGGCATAAACTGTGTGACAATAACAGTGAATAACACAAACATGCTTATTAATACAATGAAAACGAAAATAATGTAAGTAACAGGAATGCAGTAGCACTGGAACAAGTGGCACTGTTCTATTATGGTGGCACTTGAGGCCATTTGCAAAAGGTTTTTGTAGTTTATCGAAAGCTAAAATCAAATAAATTTCAATGGCATGTTAATTTTTCAAATAGCTTATTTTTGGCGCCATACCAGTCAAATTAAGATTTTGTTTCTCATTCGAAAAATTCTCAATGGATAAAAGCTTTCTTGTAGGAAACCTTTAATCGTCAGATGGAAAAAAATTTTTCAGTAATAATGATAAATTTGGCTTTCGGAAAGGACTTCTTCGAGTTTTGTAACGACCGGAAGAATATTGTGTCACACCTAGTGAGCACTTCTGGTCGGCTAGGGTGTCTGTACAGCTGTAACACCAATCCGCTACATAAATCACATGAGGATTTTTTGATGAAAATCAGAGATCTTTCCGACGTTCCAGAATTTTTCTGCATGTCCGTGTGCTTTCTCATAAAAAAAAGATTCGTTGAAAATAATTTGTCGTGTATCAAAGATTGACAAACTCACTATGAAATATAGATAACTGTTTAGGAGGTCAGCAAGAATGCTCATGATTAAGTGAAATCTATGAGCATTAAAGAACAGTTGAAGGCAGTTGACTTGTGATAACTAATCAATGTGGTTAATACTGAGATGGCTCGTCAACCAGAGGCCAGTATTGCGGAACCCTATCCACATACCTGCTAACTCTTAAGAAAAGTTCTTGTCCAGAAGAAGAGACTGTTTCTCCATTCCCTGCTGAATAACCAAAATAAACTCATTTTTTGAAGGGCATCGTCGTAGAGAAATGACTGGCGACTGTTCTTTTCTGTTATCGAGGAAAAATGGAAAAAACGACGTCTTCTGCTAACAAAAAGCATTCCACCGCAAACTGAGTAAACATTCAAAAACTTCAATCTCAGGCTACTGCACTATAGTAGTTTTGTGGACAAAGCCTTTTTGAGGCTGTTATAAAGGAAAACATCTATGTTTCTCATGCATGTTTTCTCGTAGACCATAATGGTACGTGGAATTACGAGTATCCATTCAATAACATGGGTATTGGCGTAATTCTGTGCTTAATTTCTGAACAGATTATTCACTGCAGCGTGGCAGGGGAGTGAGATTACATAGGCGGGCATTGATTATTGATTGACCTACGGGTGGGAAGGAGGACAGGAGGGGCTATGTGCACGTGGCCGGTGCAGAACATATCTTTATTCTAAATGCTACAGCGTTATGAAAAGGTCTTATTTGAAAAGAAGCATGTAGCGCAGTCTCCAGAGATTTAAGATTTCGAATGGATGTTAACATTCTTAAAGGAAGTTCTTGTCCAGGAAAAGAGATCGTTTCTCCAATCCCCGTCGGTTAACCGAAATGATAACACAAAATGAATCATCGTGCCATAAGAGTATTACCAGAGGTAAGCGACACGTGACATCTCACATCCAGCAACTCAGCGATCTGTTCCTTTCGTGGGAGAGAATAATCCAGTCATCGTTCACCCATCAATCTCGTCTATTCGTAGTGTCCACAATGTGGCTGCTTTCGACAAATTTTCAAATTCTTTTTATACATTAGCGATGAAGGAGGCAAGCTGTTCCAGATGAGCCTGTTGCTAGAACTCACAAATAGGAATTGCAAGACTGCATATAGACCAGAAAAAAGTTTGTGCATCAACGAGTCCTTCTGATCGTCTGGAGATTGTACACCGCCTTCATCTAGAAAATCAGATAGGGATTGGGTAGTTTAGCTAGGACTTTCATACCATAAGAGTATATGATTGCTTCAAAGATTTTTGAGAACATTTGTTGTTGAATGACACAGACTGTATGTGTTGATGATAATTGCATTGGCAAATGTTGAGTTAAATATAAAGAGTGAAAGAAATGAAGGGTCAGGATCAGGAATGTAATTTTTTCTAGAGAAGTACTCCACAAATTGATGACCATGAATCCTTCGAAGCCTGCTCCTACTGCTAATGTGACACTTGACGTGACATAAGCTTTTTTTCAAAACAGTGCTTCCTTCATATCCAACTTTTTGTTACCTCGGCATGGATTGTCAATGTCTTGCTTTATTCAAAAGTTTACATATGTTTTGCAGATTTATTTTTGAACTTCTTAGTGGAAACGCCTCCTTCAAAACTGAGATGATTTTCGTTGAGTGTTCATGGCAATAATTTCCTCTTAAATTGTGGATTTTCAATGTCGTCAAATGCGCTTGATTCGAACACAGTGGAACACTATTAAAGAATGGATTACCGTAATTCAGCACAGTTCCCCATGCAAACTATTTCAAATCTCGAGACAGAACTTGGAAGTGTACTCTGATTTTTGCAATTTAGGAGGCTGTATAAATTGCCCTAACAAAAGAGAGGGAGATCGTATGAGCTTATGCACAGCATGTGTATATATTTATATAAATACATATATAATATGATGTACGACACGCAGGAAAGAATAGATTTGTGAGACGTGTAGACCCTTCTGTGTATGCGCAGAAGAGCATCTAGATGGTAAATACAAGTTCGAGAAAGCACACCTAAGTACACGTAGGGCGCAGAAGCAAAACGGATCGGAATGGCGAATGTGTCGCTTTCGCGCAAAACACGACGGCTTTTCTCCGTTTGCTGTTGTGACCGAGCCCGAGCGGTATAGAAAGGCACTGATAATTTATCAAGTCATGCGGGTGATGTAATATAACATACGTTTAAAGCTCTGAAGAGACAAAATGACAGAGGAGTTCATCATCAAAGTCTTACTGCTAAGACTATAATAACTTCGTCTGCTAAGCAGGACAAGTCTTGGAGATTTACAAATGTGATTACTAATGCCATTAAGGTTTATAGAAAGAATACCAATCAATCGGCAGACGCAAGATCATCGGTTAGAAAAGTAGGATCCTACTAAACTCTGATGCACATAGTCAGTTTTATCTAGATAAAAGATGTTTTTATGCAAACGAACTGTGCAAAAAGTATACCTTAGAACACTCCTGGACAAATGTGCACTGGTAAGAGAAGACAGATCATTCGAGAAGTGCTTTACTGCAGTACTGATACGAGGCGTCTATGGACACCTACAGAACAGCGAAAAACGATTGTGAGCACCTCAGTGGCTCTTAAAATGATAAAGGTGCTAATCCGCTGGCCAAACATATTATTATAGTAATCTCGTCTTAACTTTAAAATCTCATGAATAGTGAACAGAGACTTTGGAGTCAACTGATAGTGAATTCAAATTAAGCATTCAATCAAGAGGCACTTACTTTCATTAGTAGGATGGGTGTGACGTTTTTCCTGCTCCTGGAATATGAACTGTTTGGAAGTCATTACTTACTTTGATCATAAGGCGCCAACAGTGGTGAAATTTCTCCATCAGCATAAATTCTCTGACTAACCACAGTACCGCATCAAGCCGAAGTAGAATGTTGTGACGAAACTGTTCGTCGCTCAGTAATTCAGTTGAAAGGGACGGGATGCTTATTCAGCTCTGCAAACCCTTCATTATAAACTCAATCGATGATTGAACAGTGCTAATGCTTTCAATTGGCAGTTCATGAGCTTAAAACATATTATTTTACTTTCCAAGTAAAGGAATTCTCCTCATCATATCTGAACTGAGAGAATCGTAGCTTTCCATGACGTGTAATGCCATCCTA